CCCTTTACATCATAGAATCAGAGAATGGTTTGGGTTGGAAGGGACCTTAAAGATCAACTAGTTCCAACCCCCTTCAGCAGTAGGAGAGCAACATTTCAAAAGTCTTCTGTAGTGACGTTGAGAAGTAGTCTGTTTAACTTGATCTCTAGGAAAGTAATTGGCTCAATTTGAACAAACATTTAGCTTTTTCTATATACAACTTAATTACTTTTAATGGTAGTTTTGTGTACTACAGACGGCGAGTGCAAGGCAGGAAATAAAATGTCATATATCGTTTCTACTTTGACGTAGCTGGATATCCAGTCATTTGGAATAAATCGAGCCTGTACCTGGTTTGAACTCTCAATAACTCACCTTTACCTTCCCCAGCCCCTGCCGCCCTGCTGCAGCCTGTTCTGACTGCCAGGTGGCTTGGCGGCATCCTGAGCGTTTCTGGGGTGTTTACTCCCTGAGGGAAGAACAGAACTTAACTTACTCTCTGCACAGAAACAGGCACTGGCAGTTGCTCATGTGTTGAGGGAAGGCGAGACGGAGGCACTTGGTGTTCCCAGTAGGTTGCCTGCTCCTGTTAAGAATTCCAAGTGCCAGGAAGGGTGTGCTCGGCGCAGGGCAGAACCATCGCCTCCGTGTAGCCTTCGGAGCTGGGGCTGTTTCACACAGTTCAGTTTCTCATTTTTTGGAAGCAGAAACCTGAGTCCCTGGGAATAACAGGTATGACAGCAACAGCAAGAAAGGACACCCTCATGTTTGCACTACATACTAAGTATGTAATTATTAGTCTCAGTTGTCAAATATAAAACCCTTCCTATTAACAACACTTTAAATCCTGTTAACACGGGGCAAAGGAAATAAAAATATAAACACTTGTTCAAAAGTCTATGAAGACTATTTTGCCATTTTGAATTCTGAAATATATAAAGTATTTTATCATTATTATGTATGAGGCTGTGGCTCAGTTTGATATTTCTAAGTGGTGTAAAATCCTGTTGACTTTCTTTTGGCAAGTCTTGGCTCTAATAGGTGACAGCTCAAATAGATGATTTGTCATCTTCCCCTGAGCACAAGGCTGGGGTCAGGAAGAGGTAGCTTTTTGTGGTCCCTTTCATTGAGCTGCTGGCCAATGCCGCAGGCGTTTGCCAGGATCCAGCTCCCTCTCGTGGGAGGTGTGACAGCGGAGGGAGGTGGATGTGGCATACGCAGGGAAAGCTCAGGTTCTGTGTCATGGTTTTCCTTGACAGTCACTGTCGTGTTAATTCTGGTCCTTGCTCTGGGTTTTAAGCTCTTCTTAAACAGGAGGATAGTGTCATCTCTGTTCTTTTATAGGCAAGGTCTGAGCTCTCCATGTCTGTGCATTAAGCGTGGCTCTAACCCAGGGATGAAGGCAGGCCTAGTCCCTACAGCTGGGCTTGTCTCCACTTGTCACTCCACTCCAGTTGTGTGACAAGAAATATCCCTCATTTAGGAAAAGATAAAATGCAAGCAGCAGGTTAGCTAAAGACCAGATCACCGAAGGGTTCATCTGCTGTAACTACTCACCACTAACAGCCTTTAGCTGTCCTGACAAATAGTGCCTTGTGTTGCATTTTCCTATGAAAGCATCCTGTGCTTTACGTGATCGTCTAAAGTGAGTATCTACTTCAGCTGTCAGCAGACAAGTGAACCAAGTATACTTACGTGGGGTACAACAAGAGATAGAGGAGCTCTAGCCTATTTAAAAGCTGCAGTTCTGTTTAACTAAAAGTGTACTGCTTTTGATGATCTGGTATCTCAAAGTAAAGCACCTTCTGTGGGGGCTGCTCTAGGTCAGAATGCAATTTTCCTTCAGTTTGGTACAGCAGATGTCAAGAAAGATGCCCTGAAGAAAGGGAGTCAGGTTTGATCCTGTATCTGACGTTTTTGTAAGTGGGAAACTAAAATTTGTCTCCGATCAACAGCCAACAGTTATCCTCTGTTCTTCTTCATTAGCTCAGGTAAATTGTGTTCTAGGTTACCCTACTCAACCCCATGCTGTCAGCCAGACCTGTCTGTCCTTGCTTCCTCCCTGGGCCTGGCAAGTGCCCATTCTGTGACTCAGGCTGAACTGTCAGCGTAACATGCCTGCTAAACTACAGAGGGAAGGAGACTGTGCTTACAGAACAAAAGTACAGAACCACTTCCAAAACACAGAAAGTCTCACTAGTGTTTTAGACTAGGAGCCCAAATGAAGTGGTCAGTATCAGTTTTAAATCCTACCAGTATAGGCAGAGAATGTTGTGGAGCTGGCTTAGAGCACATGAGAGCATGGCTTCTCACAACTACAGCATAATGATTACATTTCTTGTTGCAGAATCTGTGTCATCACCTTGGCAGAAGCCCATCCTCTTCTTCAAAATGGAAAAACGATTACAAGCATTAACTACCAAATCAGTGCCAACTGTAGCAGACTCCAGAATAAGGTCTCCGGGAAGTCAAAAAGGGTATGGCTTTTTGATTTGGTTAGTTTTCATTTTCATCTCTCACAGTTCCTGAGACTTTCTGTCCTTTCTAGGACAGAAACTTAGCAAGTTACCTTTGCATGTTATGTTAAAACAGCCCCTCCACAGTTAAAGAATGTCGACTTTCCTCAAGAGGTGCCTGTCTGACTGTCCTAGCAAGGGTCTTCCAGAGCTCCTACAGCACCAGTGGTTTCTAGTGTTGCTCAGACCAAGGCCAACAGTCACTTTTTGTAATGTTTTCATAGTATATAAAGGGACCTAAAACATGACTTCATAAATAAAAATTTGTTTCCACTGAAGTGCCAAGGATTTTGGAGACTATTGTTTTTGTCAAACAGACCTGGAGAGCAGATGGGCTAGTTCAGTGTGTTTCATGGTGGGTTTTCAAAGATGTTGGTTATATTAAAATTCAGCTGTGCTGGTTTTCTCCTCTCTGCTGATTTTAATCTAATTAAACTACAAGAAACTTAATTTTGACTAAACTTCTAAGGTCTTACAAGCTTCTAATCTATCTGTGCACATAACTACGTTGTCATATTCCCTTCTGTAGGGTAACACAGCTATGAAACTTGCCATGACCTGTTACTATCACACTTCCTTGCTTTGTTCTGAAGCTTACAAACTTCTTGTGTTGCTGATGGTAATACTTTTAAAAGCCCTGTGTAATTAAAAATGTGTATATATATATAGTGTGTATATATATATGCTGATGGTAATACTTTTAAAAGCCCTGTGTAATTAAAAATGTGTATATATATATATAGTGTGTGTGTATATATATATTTTTTTTTTCAAATGCAGGGAGCTCAGTTTTTAACAGAACTTGCCCCTCTGTGCAGGATATCTTCATCAGATGGAGAGGAATACACCATTTATAGGTCAGATTTTGCCCTTTTCAATTCCTACCTTGACATACCATGCACATTTACTGAAATGTAACACTTTTGCAGTTGTATACGAGGTCGACTGATTGAAGTGAATGAAAACATTCTTAGCAATCCAGCTATTCTGCAAGAAAAGGTAAGAAACTTTCTTGCTTTTTATTTTCTAACTTTTATTTCACTACTAACTTCAGTCTTGCTTTTTTAGCCATCAACCGAGGGATACATTGCAGTGGTTCTACCCAAATTCGAAGAAAGCAAGAGTATAACTCAAGGACTTCTGACACAGAAGGAGTACGAGGAAGTTCTGTTGAAACGTCTTAATTCTTCTTCATGAAATTAATTATACAGCTATCATCTGTATTTGATACTAAATAAGCTACTTTTATTGTGCACTGTAACTTTCATGGTATTGAAAGGCCTAGTGCCTGATTTTAAAAGTGGAACATAAAAGCTTGATTTATACAAGAATAAACCAGTTCAAATAGTTTGTATACTAAAATGCTTTTTCTTTTTCTCTGAATTCTAGCACTGCAAGTTTTTAAATAGGCATAGAATGATATGTTGGAGAATATTTATGTTCCACAGGCAGCTTTGCTCAGTGCAAGCATAATACATACAGAAAAATCATATGATTTATCTATCACTTAATTTAGCTAAACTAATACAATACAGAGTTTGACAAAGGTGAATTGAAAATAAAAATGCAACAGAAGCTTATGTACAAAGAGCAGATAGATCAACTTGAAAATATGTATTTCACACCAGGTTATACTTTCATGGCATCCTGAAGTCAAATAATGCCCTTTGTACAGAAGTTTGTCTTAATCGGTATCTGTTTTCTTCTATTTTCAATGGTGTAACGTGACATTTACATAATACTTCAGTGGTTCTACATGCAATTCAAATTCTGCTCAGTAAGTTTTAATCAAAAAGGAAGCAACAGCTGCCATCTACAAATAAAGATAGTAAAAGAAACAGGTTTTGAGGCAAGAGTATTAATCACTTACAAATACACCTGGAAACATGAATCATGTCAAAAAGATTAAAATTGAGGAGTGCAGCTACTGAAAGAGGGTTTTTTTTTGCTAGAACTACTTCATTGCAGGTACAACTCGTAACTAAGGTAACATTTCAGTGCTTGAGGCCACAGCCTTTCAGACTATATTCCTGATTCTGCTTGATCAAATACACAGACTGAAATAGGCCAGACATGAGTTTACATACTTCAACAGTAGTGTTACATATAGCATATGCAGCACAAGGTTCTTTTATATAAAATGTCTATTAGCAGCATCTTTGGGTTGAAACATCCATTAAGACATTCATAAGCATTAATTACAAAACTGGTATCAATAGTGAGCATAGGAAAGGCATTCACATTATAAAAATACGTAATGATTAGACTAGTGTTGGTGTTGTAATTGCTAAGTAATGGGACATCTATTAGATGTGACAGAGGTCAACAGTTTTAATTCAAATTAACCTGGTCTGACTTTCCACAAATGAAAGCAATATTGAAAATTCAGCAAGTGTTATTTTCAAAGGGGAGTTCCTGCATTTCTAAGTGCTATAATTACTTGCTCTCTAAAAACTTCACGTTTGTTACATGATTTTCTAAAGACTTGATGCCAAATGTCTCATTTCTCCTTTCTGGAGTATGTGCGTTTGTACCAGTTCGTATTCTGTCTTCTCTCCATGGTGGAGCAGGTTTAAGACAGCCATTTCCTGCTTTTTTCTGTATATATATAAAAAAAAAGATTTCTTAAAACCAAACCAAACCAAAAAACCCCAACCCAAAACCAACCAAACAACACCCCCCACAAAAAACTTTTAAAGTATTGCGGAGGAACCAAGTACTCACCTTCCTCAGTAATTTGTAGCAGAGTGGAAGAAGCTGGCATAACAGAGTCATCACATTCCTTGTTTTCAGAATGCATGCATCAACCTAAACAAAGCAGAGCTGAGTAAGACTAATGATTACTTTTATTAGGCAATTGTTTAATGCATGAGATGATAATCTATTTCAAGCTTGATTAGGTAATATTTTTCCTTCATAAATCCCTTCTAATTAAAAAAGGTTTTACCTGGCTTTTTTGAATTTCTCTATATGATACACATAAAGCAACAGCATCCCTTCTGTAAGGCAAGACTTGAGCTAGGAAGCAGAAGGGAATAACACACATCCCAGGAGAAGGAAATAATAGTAATGTAATATTAAACAGTAATATAACTGTCTTGGAAATGAGCTCTTACCATCTAAGTGTGATTCATCACAATTCTTCATGTTTTTCCTTTTGTTTTATGTCCTGTCAGCATGATTTACAAAGTCATGCATCATGTAAGCCTTACTTTGATATGAGTTGCACTAAAAGTTAGCATTTCGGTTTATGCCTGAAGTCTAACACTCAGCACACGTCACAAGTCTGGGCCCTCAAGAAGCAATTTGGTAGGCCATTATCTCTATGTAGTGATACCTCACTGTAAAAACAGACTGAAGCTCCCATATTTAGTTTAGCTGGAGAGCATAAAACAGACCAAGCAGTAGCCCTGAAATGATCGGTTTGGTTTTGAGTGGCTTGGGTCCTCTAGCCAGTTTCAGTCCCTGCTGTAAAACTGAAACATCTTTTCCTTAGTTCATTGGAAACAAACATCCAGATGCACAGAAATGGTCTTGCTCACATTGATCATATTGCTGCTCAGGGATACTTGAAGTTCTTCAAAAAGCCTGACCTCTGTTCCCCACTAAAGTTTGCAGATCTACTTACCGTGTAAACAATGTTGAAACTTTTATGGCAGCTGTGTATATATTTACTTAAAACAAATACGAATAATATCAGAACAAACTCTGGACAGGATAGGGTAGACTACCTACCTACTGAGAAGCAAACATGTATTTCAGTAATAGAGTCATTGAGGTTTGGAATTTGGTACGTTTATGTTAAGCATCAGTAAAAACTGAATAACAATAATTATTACAGTGGTGGAAATACAAATTACCTTCATTAATATTTTCATCACTGAAGTCCTTTCATAGTGAGATATGCTTAATTACAGTTCATATTTCTCTGAATGAAGTTCTAGTGGATTACAGTAACATATACAGTATTACTCCATCTCGTATTATTCAGCTGAGAATTCTCAGTTGCAGCATGGCAGAATTCCAGTACTTCTCTTTATCTAGTGTGTAAGTTGTCAGAGGTGTTGACAGAAGTTCTTTGAAAGAAGTTCTTACCAGTAAAAAGCAATATAAAGTCGTGGAAGCCTACAGACACCTTTCCACCTTTTTTTTTTTTTTTTTTTTTTAAGAGCAGTCCAGGAACATCTTTGTCTTAGGAAACATTTCTGCAAACTCCTTCACTAACAGTAAAGTCCAAAATCCAAATGATAATTTCAGTATTTTTAGTAATAGGAAGAAAAAAAAATCCTCTTACTTATTTTACTGATTCTTAGGCTGGTAAAGTTGATGAGCTAGAGGTAGGAAAACTGTTCCTTAAAACATTAATATCAATGATACGTCTGTGACCACTGCGCCAGTTTCACAAAACCTGGATATCCATGCTCCCTAAAGAAAACATTCATACAACCATGTAGAGGTAATACTATCCAAGCTATTGACTGCCAGGCTTCCACGTATGCTGGATGCCAGTGTACGATATTTTGCACAACAGCATAAAATTTTGTAGTTTGTAATTTTTATGGTCCTCTGTCAATCCAAGAAGTTCAGCTGTCATGAACTGTTTCATGATTTGATCACCTTCTATGACAGGGTGACCCGCC